CCCAATCCTCTGGGAGCACAGATTCAGTATGCCATGTAATCCACTGGCTTTAAGCCACATAAATACTTGGCTGAATCCAAGTGGTTCTTGTCCCTAAATTGAATGAAAGATGATGTTTAGGGACTCCAAATAAACATTAGGCAGAAATCTCAAAGTATTGATTAGGAATGAAGATTAGCTAAGTTAGAATGAGTTAGCATTTAGTTAGAATTGCTAGCATTTTCAATTTTACTTGTTTTAGGAAAGACTACATTTACATTGGTTAGAACTACAAACTGCATATTTTCATCTTGATTGATTATATAAGTGATAGAAATAATTTCTGTTTCAATGAGTCTAGGCTTCATGATAAAGTACAATTCATATCTCAATTTACAAACTTAAGTTTGTTTATGATTTTATAGACTGTGGTTGTGTTTGTCACCAGATGTAGAGTTTGCAGATGGAAGTGAAATTTTGCCAAACACTTTTGAGAACTGAATTGTTTGTGAACTGAGGTATTACTGTACATTGAGAGTCAAAACAAAAGAATTTTTCTTCTCTGCTGTCCAGCAAACACATTGCAACACTCTCTTGCTTATTTGAATGTATTCAAAGTACATTCAAAGGTCTTTTATTCCAGAAGGAAAAAAGGAGGAGTTGGGTATAGTGGTGCAGGCTGGTAACTCCAGCTTCTCAGCAGGCTATTGCAGAAGATCACAAGTTTGAGGCTGGCTGGGATGTACCTCAGTGAAAGAGAAGCCTTAGATTCAGTCTCCAGGGAAGAGGGGAAACAGGAGGAAGTTTGCCTTAGGTTTTCAATAAAATTCAGAGAAGCACAGAATTTTGTGGTTGGGAATTTGAAGTGGTCAGTCTGATTTTTGAAAACCTTCTATCAGTGTTCTTATATAACAGGATTATATTATAGTCGAAAAGTGTTTTGAGTCACACTGCATTACACTTGCTCTCTGTGGTGACTGACACCATACATTAGCATAGTGAAGTTTCTGGGGAACTGTACAGCTAAATGGAGCTTGTTTTAATCAGTGCAGTTACTAGGGATGGACAGAACATGCCTTGGGTAATCTGTAGTGCAACAGTATTTTTTATTTGAACAAAATAAAGCCAGAGAAGGTAAGTGACCTATGAAGGATAAACAATGTTGGTAGCAGGCTAAGAACAAGCTCCTTGACCTCTTGCCTCTCCATAGCTCCTGGGTCATGAGGACTTGTGACTTGCTCCAGGGCAAGTCATATAGGGTTCTCCTCAGCCTGCTTTAGGGAGTGTGAGGGTGACTTTCCCACCTCTGGTGTTTTCTCAGATGCCAAAATGCAATGTTTTGAGGCTGGGGATTTAGCTCAGCGGCATAAGCGCCTGCCTTGCAAGCAGGCAGTCGTGAGTTCGATCTCTGGTACCGATAAAAATGAAAGAGAGAGAAAAAAATGCAATGTTTTGTGGGAGGCAAGAGGGGTTTTATCACTGTCACAAGGAGTATACTTTTCTCAGTACACTGTTATGGGTTGGATTGCTGATGTCATTTTTAACCTTTATTTTTGGAACTACAATAAGAATGATCCATAGGAAACCCCATGATGGGGCAGGGGCAGCCCAGTGATGGGGAGGAGTTACCGAGGTCAACTAGAAGTAGCCCGAGACCATGGCCAGAGATCCTGAGAGCTCAATAAACTGGGCACTGCAGCACGCAGAACATCTTCCCTTTCCAAACGCCTGGATCTGGGGTTACTGTATGAGCCCTCTGCCATTACTGCTGGAAATCAGGCCCATTCTAATGGGAGAAAGAAGACTGTGGATCTTTGTCAGAGGCATGTTTTCTTTTTGGATTTGCAACAAAGGAGTCAAAACTCCTAATACAGGTAAGAAACCATACTCCTAGGATTTAAGAGCCTCTTACAGTCAGTAGCAAGTATTTGAGAAGGCAGAAAGTACGAATGAAAGGATCTCATGGGCTTGAACTCAGAAAGAAACTCATTACTTGAGGATGACCCTTCTTCTGCTGCAGGAACCATATTTGTACAGCACATACTCAGGTGTTTGGGCTGCCTTTCTAGTAGGGATAAAAAAAAAAATGTGACACTGTAAAAGTTGCAGTTTCGGGGGCTGGGGATTTAGCTCAGCGGCATAAGCACCTGTCTTGCAAGTTCGATCCCCGGTACCAATAAAATAGAAAAAAGACAAAACAAACAAACAAACAAAAAGTTGCAGTTTCAGTCACATCAGACCTGAGAAAGGAACTGCACTATGAACCAAAGTGGAAACTGTGAGGGTGGGGGGCTGGTGGAGTGCTCCCGGGGATTGAATTCATGGCCTTTGCGCTGAGCTACAGCTCCTTTAAATTTTGAGCTAAGTAAACCCTAATCTTTCTAAATTTCCCAGGCTGGGCTTGAACTTGCAATCCTTCTGCATTAGCTTTGCAGAGTACTGGGATTACAGATTTGTGTCACTATGCCTGGCTCTAGAGCACAAGCTTTTATTAGGAGGTTTGTAGAAGATTCTTGAGGTAACAACAGGTGAGGCAGGAGACAGCTGGTTCAAGTGGAAGGAGAAATCACAGACCACTGAAAAGGGCTAAAGAATGAAACAGAGAGATCACAGTGACCTTCATACCTTGTACGGAATAGGACTGGCCACTGTTTATTTTGGTGGAGAAGTAAAGGGGAGGAACTAGGCTCTTTCCATATACTACGATTTCCAGGGAGGGCATGGCTTGCATTACCAAGAGATGACACCCTGATCAGCGTTTGGGATACTGATCTACAGACAGCCCCAATAATCGAAACTGATATATCTCTTTGAGGATGGGTATATGCAGTGAAAAGGTTACAAAATAACTGGGCTTAGGAAATGCACAAGCAAATGGCAAATGGGACACCTGAATTTCTGATTAACACTAACCTAAGAGAAGGCAGAGTTCACACTGCAAAAAGGGGGAAAAAAGTGCTTTGCATGGTGTTTGGACACTGTCTTGAAGATGAAGTTTAACAAATTCTTCAGACTTACTTCTTTTTAGGACAAACTCAGTAACTTCTCCTTAATAACCCTGTAATTGAATGTGCTCTATAGCAAAAGAACACATGTCCTCTGAGAGAAGTCATGAAGAAGGCAGCAAGCCCAGAAGGAAGCAGAAGGAATAAGGCAGCACCACTTTCCATACCTATTCTCAGGTCCCCAGCCTGCTCTAGATACTAGAGCACCTTTGTCGGTGGAAGCACTTAGTCTAACAGAAGCTTCAAGTAGTAGATCTAAGAACTGAACCTGTCCTTCACATCAATAGTTTCATTCTTTAGGACAATGGGCAACTATTTCTACAATGTGCAAAGAGACAAATTCACATAGATCTGTGCTTTTCTGTTGTCTGGGTATGTAGTATGGCCTAAGCCGAATGATCAGTCTTTCAAAAAATTAAAAGTAATAAACTGAGTACTCAGATCTGAGCTGAGGAGGTGGTGAGGCCTACCTATAATACTTCTTTGCCTAGAGGATGACTAAATATAAATAATTCATAGCTCATTAGAGACTGGTTTTACTAAACACTAGAGTGAGAAGCTGGAAATACAGTAGGTCTATTCAGTAAGGCGAGTCTTAGATTCTGTACTGGAACAGTTTTGTTTTCTTTTGACAGGGTCTCACTGTGTAGCCCAGCCTAGCCCCAAACTCACAATCCTGCCCTAGTTCCCAAGTGCTGGGATTTTAGGCATGCATGACCATGCCTGGTTTCAGAACTGGTTTTTGTCTATGAAATTCAGAAATCATTTCAACCTCTTTTTTTTTTTTTTTTCATTCCAACCTCTTAATTGCTTCCATTTTCTCCTGAAATGGTGGCAAAAGGGATCCACTTCATAATAGAATTAGATTTAGCTGTGGTATCTCTACAACCTTGGAAAACTGCAATGCAGTCTCTATGAGGCAGTCCCTTCTTTGTATGTCAAGTTTCTGGGGCTAGGAGAGTTTTGGGGGCTAGATAGGAGAGTCAATTTAACTCCCTATTCTTTTAATGTTATCAGGAAAATAATAATGAAAGGTATAATAACCATGCATCCTTCACAAAATAAGTTTGAGGATGATAAGGATTTGCTAAATTCTTTTACCAGATATTTAAGTCATTTCTGGAAATGCCAGTCCCCAAACTGACAACAGGCTTGGTGAAGATGACAATTCTAGACATGGACATTTCTGACAGCCTCAGGTAAGAACTGTTTGTTAGTGTTTTGGTGGTTTTTGTTTGTGGAGGGAGTAGTGGTTAGAGCAGGGCTTGATGTTGGCAGGCCGCCCTTACTACTTGGACTAAGTGATTAAGATGCAAAGAATATAACTTAAAGTTCATTAGCTTTCATGAACAATGAAACATGACACAATGAACATGACACAATGAGGTACATTTGATTGTTAAACAAAATTCAAGGAAATTAGCCGTAACTATTACCACATAAATTTATAATCTTACGATTACTTAAAAATATTTCATAATTAGAATTTGTTAAGAGTTGACGCTGGTTTAGGTTCGTCTATCTCCTAAAAACCTAACCATGATATGTCTATTTTTATCGCTGAAAGAAACCAAAGAGGTAGTTCTGTAAATATATACATAAAGTGCTTACAGATACAGCTAGGATGTACCAGTTTCCTGGTCATAGATAACTGCAAGGTAGAGAAAGAAGACTTGCAAGCACTCATTAGTAGTAACAATTAACAGTTACATTAGCACTTTTGTAGCTAAATTAATATTTGGTTTTATTACATTTCCTACAAAGTAACAAAGAAGGTGCCAATATATTTAGCACCTCTGATCTTTTGGATACTATACAGATACATTATCAAGTCCTCTTTAAAAAAAAAAAGCTAATTCAAATCAGTTCATCAAGAAGATAAAACAATTTCTGACCTCCCAAAGTGTGTGACACAATGAGAAGGGCCCCAAAGCAAATGGTCATGCCAGTTGTGTGAGGTGATATCTTCTCAAAGCACTAACGATCCACATCTGAATTCTACACAGGAGCAATTCATTTTTTGATTTGCAAAATTTTATTAAGCAATAGCTGGACAACTCTTACAATTTTAATTCATTAAGGAAAAATAAGATCAAATCATTTCAATTATAAAAACAAAATTATTTTGGACAAACCACATCATTGTGAATACAAACCATTAATGCCTTCTACAATACCTTCTGCACAATCGAATACACAAAATACATAAGAAAGGCAAATAAGGGATAGTTCATTGAAATGCAGCTGGGAATCTCAACAGATCTTGCTTGGAAAGTGAAACTAAGTAGAATGTTAAATTAAAAAAAAAAAACATTAGAGGAACTAAGGTACACAAAGCAGTGTACATCACTCCCAAGGTCTAGACAAGAACATGCTGGTGGTCTTTTATGGTCTGGGACCTGTGCACCTGCACTGCACACTTATGGGAGGGGAAAGAAAGAGAGTAGGGAACAAGAGACAGAAAAGAGGTAGAAAGGAAAGAAGAAAAGAAAAAGTGCCAGTAGTAATAAACTAAAAACTATGTCCAAATTTACAGTACCAAAATAATGCATTTATAAATAAATGCAAAAACAATACCCCTTTGGTAAATAATACAGTGCCTTTTTCACACATAATCCATGCTTCTCTACAACACGAAAAAAGAATTTTATCTACAATAAATGAGATCTTATAATCCTATCCCTTACTTCAAAAAGAACTTGTAAACAGAAAATACAGGTACAAGTAAAGTTACAGGAAAATTGCACAAAGCCAAAGAAAATGAAAACAAAATAAGCTACAAACCTTCAGAGTTTATCAGCCAGAGATAAGGAAATACACAAATGGCACAGAGTTCTGAGTTGTGTGTGCGTACAAACTCCTAGGAACTCAAACGACATTTCTGACATGTTTTGTCTCAGCTAACTTTGTCAACAACCATAGATTTGGCCAAGTGATCTGCAGCCCACGCAGGGACACTGTGTGTTCTTTTTCTCATGAGTTCCTTCAACCTTTTGAATTTGAAGGTAGTGTGAACTTGAATCACACTAAAGATAGTACGTCCACCTAAATTTACACTCCTCTATTCTTTCTGAATACGCTCTCAGGTTTTGAAGGCAAGTGGGCACTTATTTTTTCTGTTCTCAAGGATAGCCGCTGAATAGGACACCTCTGTCTTGCCTAGAATCCATGCTTTTGTGTAATTTTTCAAGAACAAGCATGAATCCAAATGCATTTCTAAAGATACGATGTTAAGTGCACTGGTTTATATTCAGTAGACAGCTGACTGACTTAGGGAAAAAATCTCTATAAAAAGACAATGTTTCAAAACATACTTTCTATGCTTGTGGAGTGGGAAGATCAAACTGTTCAATTCTGAATTCCTGGGCTACTGGAGCTGGAAAGGAGTTAGGAATGTCCAGATATCTCTTGCAAATTTGCCAATGAAGAGAGGTCTGACAGTTCCAGAGGTTTGCCACCCTCTAACCTTAGGGCAGAGCAGGCACAATCCTGAGGCCTCCTGATCTGCTGTGATGACAGAATGAAAATTACATGTTTCCACACATCTATGTGGGGCATCTGACATAGGAGCAACAGCTATGGATGAAAAACACCAACCTGCAAATGTCTGTGATTTACACTGCCATTAAGCTTTCAGAGTTTCTTGCTTCTTTGGTCCCAGTTTTTCTCAGGATATACAATCACTGGGTATTTTTGTGCACATACCCGTGACAACTTTGGTTTGATCAAGTTAGAGCTAAATAAATTCAAAATTAATTTTTATGTTTGTTAATATACCATTTCCCTCAAAACTCTTTACATAATTGACTTTTTATTGGACTGTTTTTAAATTTAGGAAGTCAATGAGATTTCTTGACATTTATAAATCAGTATTAATAAACATGATGTAGTTGGAATTCTGCTGCTTAAAGTCCTAACTTTAGTAGTATTTAATCAACTGAGACTGAAACGAATTTTTAGAGCAAGTAAAACTGCCTTACCTTGAAAGACACCACCAATCACAACTGCTGCAGCTGCTGCGTCTGCCTGGACTGCCAGGTGAGACTTGTTATTTCTCAGCCTCGGTGGGGGAGTGTGCTGGCAGCTACTTTAGGGACAGATCTGCCTGAGGGGCAAGTGTGTTGGGGACTGACTTCCCTATATTTGTTTTATATAGAGACATTCTAAAATGTATTCTTTTGTGGTCTTTATGGCTCAAAAACTATACAGAACTAAGAAACTGAAGCTGATTTCTTAACAGTTCTTTCCTTTGCTACTCTTATTTGACAGCTTCTCCTTTATTTCCCATTACCCTTTATTTTTCATTAAAAACATTTTTCAAAGTAAGAGGAAATACTATTTTACAATATGCTATCTCAAAGAAATACTCTCCTTTGCATACAATCAATTCTACAAAATTAAAAAGAATCACTTTTAAAGGATTAATTTTCCCAATTGGAAAAAGTTACAAAGGGCCGGGGATATAACTCAGTGGCACAATGCCTGCCTGGCAAACATGAGGTCATGAGTTCAATTCCTAGTTTTAAAAAAAAGTTACAAATTATCCAGCAAAAATATCTTATCATGTTCTCTTTATTTCTTGCAGTGAAACATACTGCTACCAAATAAGTCATTACAAAGTTACTATTTTTCTAAATAAATAATAAAATGGGCATAACTCAGCAATACACAGTAACGAAATAATTCCTAAGAATACTATGAAAAGCAAGATAAATAATCATCTCTTGGACAACAGGGAAATCACCTTTAAATTATTCCCAAAATAGGCTATAACTTATTGCACAACTAATAAGCACTGAGATATCATAGCTACAGAAACCATAAGAATGAATTAGGTAATTCTGAATACATTGCTAATTTCTGAAAGAATTTATTCACTGTAACAGTTAGCTTTCTCCTTGCTGAGACACAACACCCAACATTCAAAACTTAAAGAAGGAAAGGTTTAACTTTCTCACAGTTTCAGTCCGTGATGGGCTGGCTCCAAAGACATTATAGCAGAAGGGTGTGGCATAGTAAAGCGGCTTAATTCTTAGAAAGAGCAAGGAAAAAGTGCCAGAGAGGAAGGGGCAAGGGACTATGCACAGACCCCAAGAATATGCCTTTATGGATACACCAATAGTGTGCTCAACCAATCTCTGGGGATCCCAAAGTCAATCAAATTGACACTCCAACCTAACTGCCACACTCGCCAAAGAATTGGGTCCAATGTTTCTTATTATAAAATGGAAAACTCCAGTATTAACTGGGACATATCCTCCACCATATTTAAAATACTGGTCAGTAGAGCCTCAACAACAGGCTGGAAGGCAGTTTGTATTTTCTCCAAAGCAAAGAATGGAGAGTGGTGTCATTTTGCTCTGAGAAATGAATGGGCCACTTCCCTAATTTTTAAACCAAAGCCCAAGACAAAACGTAACCAATTGCCCTAAGTTTAACAAATTTAACAATGTTTTCCCAGTGGTTTATTTCCTCAGTAAACAATCTGTACAGTTAATAAACAGTTTTTTTTCTTAGAGTATGCAACTTCTGTCAAAGATCTGACCATGTGTCTACATTTTAATACCTGGTAAATGCTTAAAAATTTGGGGGTTATGCTTCTAATTTGATGGAAAATATTTCTGGTCATTTGAATTTTAATGTAGCCAACAGGAGGAAAGGAGTGGTTTTAATGTAAGTCTCACCTACACTTTGAGAAGGCTAGAACAATGATACCTAATAGAAAAGATAACACTTACAATAATGTACTCCATTAAAGAATAAATGAGATAAAGAGGAGAGGCTGTTTCTCAGCAAGTGGGGGATTTAGTGACTAACCACACTATTTGAGAAGTTTCTAGACCTCTCTTTCCATTATTGTGTCCTACCTTCTTCTAAAGTTGGTCTTCCTTAAAAATCACCACTGATCCTATGAGACACTGACAGATGATGAAAACTTAGTCGAGTCTTCCAACATGAACATCTTTGGAAGAGGAGTGCGGCCCTGTATAAGTCATACCATTGAGTCACCCAGGTGTCTCAAGTGCCTGTCTACACCTCCTTCCTCATTAGCCCTCCCTGGGCCCCCCCAGGACCGCACGTTCATCTGGATGATGGCACCCCTACACAGAGCCTACTTTCACTAGTCAAACACAGTGCATTTTCCCAGTGGCCCTTCATATGTCAAATTACCTTTTGGAGGTAGCATAAAGTATGTGAATTAAATGCTGCCCTCCTCAAAAGAACCTGAATCTTTGGGCTTTGGTTGTTTTTACTCTGTACTAGTGATAATAAAGACCAGATGTTGTAGAGAATGTACACTAATGCATACTCCTAGAAGAACAGCAGGCTAGAAGGCAGTCTGTCTCCTCTCCAAAGGCCCTTGTTCTGGTTGCTGAGAAGCAAACTCAGTAGAACATTTAACAGCCAAGACACATTTCCTGAAACAACAACAGGCACTAGATTCCCTTGGCTTCTAAATGCCGTCCTACTGAACGAAGAAAAGAAAGACCACAGCGATAATCAAATAAACAACCACGCCTAATAGTCAGTGCCTCTTCTTGGCCCCATGGGCTCATCCAGTTGCAATGTTGTCTCTGGTCTTCCTGGGCATCCAGTCACATGGACTCTTCTCCAAAGGCTACTTGGCATCTCCTCCTCACACCAGTCTCTTCATTTGAGGCGCTGAGTCACATTAGCCAGGGCAACTGCGAAGGCCTGCACAGCTGAGAAGGGGTACTGGAAGTCTAGAATGTACGCATTGTCGTCAATTCGCCCAAACTGCATCACCTGGTAGTGGTGGTGGTAGGTGAGGAACAAAGCATAAGAGGAAAACAAGTGGAAAAATAGGTCACCAGACCTGCCAGCTCCTGATGGAAGCAGACAGCACAATTTCTGAGATAGTTCTGCCAACAAAAAAGGCTTAATCTGATCAAGCTTCTAATCTAACAACTTTGTAGGAAATGACAGAGGAATGTGTGACAAAAATGAAAGGGGAGGCAATAAACAAAATACAGAATGCAGGGAACTCTACAGGGCAAGAGAATGGGCCCTTTATAAAGGACCAAGACAGAAGAAAAAAGAGAAAAAGCCACAGGTAAAAGGCTTCAGAGAAGTATCAATTAAAACTGTAGAATGTCTCTGGCTCAGAAATGACGTCCCCACCCCCTTGCCAGGATATCACAGCCTCCATCCCACCAGGCTCCTCCTCACTCTCCCATGCTTGTGACCTTGCTACTTCCTGTAGCCACAGGATATAGGTTACTATATTATGTTGTAGGACGTATACTGATTCATTTGTGGTCTTTCTTCTACTTTTGGAAGCTGCAGCATGGCAGTGACAGCCTTGTTTTACTCACTGCTGAAATTTCATACTTACAGCAGTGGTTGTCAAGTTTACTACAAAATAATAATAATAATAAATATTTTAAATAAATATTATAATAACATTTTTAGGCTTTGTAGTTCACATAGTCTTTATCATATCCACTCAACTCTGTTAATATCAGATAAATATAGCTCTAGACAGTATACTTAAGTTAGTGAGCAGGGCTATCTTTTTAAAAACCTATTTGCCACCAGAAGCAACAGGCCAGACTGAGCTACGGGCCACAGTTTTGCCCACTGCTGGCTTAGATGACTGCCAGGTACATACCAGGTACTTGATAAATGTTGATGAGTGAACTAATTGAAATGTGAATTCAAAATGAGAAGAGAATGGAATTTCTAGTACAGAAAGATGGAAGTTATGCACCAGAGTTAAGTAGCCATGCAGGCTGGAGCAGGGACAAGTGATAACTTGCTCACTATGCACAGCTGTGTTCAGAGAAGACTTACCTTCCATCAGAATTGGGGGAGTGATTTAATAGTAAGTATGTGGAAGTAAGCAACAAGCAGATAAGAACTAGGAAATTAATATGTCTAGGAAAAACAGCCATCCTAATTAACCTGTCATACAAAACTCAGCTGTGAATCCTACTTATTAGCATGACAAAATCACCAATGAAGATTACTTTTACTGGGGAAAGTAGGGAGGGAAATTTCGCGGGTTTGTATGTGTAGGGATGCAGGAGGAGGAAGGAAACTAACATTTCTCAGACAGAAACCAATGCACAGCTGAGCAGGGGCAATTAAGTCTTGAATGTACAAACTGCTGTCAGTCCTTTTAGACAACAGGACATGAGGAGGGAGTGCAGAAGAACAAAGACACAAAAAGAAAACAAAGTAGGAAAAGAGGCAACGAGACCTGCTGGCCACTGATGGAAGCAGACAGCACAACCTATGAGACAGTTCCTTATCAAGAAGGAAATATGCGATGCCTCAAATGGAAACATCAATAGGTAGGGTATAAACATGTTTTCTTCATATCTGAGAAGGTTGTTTGTTTCTTTGTTTCCAGAAGAAAAACCTAAGGCTGGGAATCTTCTGCCTCTGAGAGAGAGCCCATGCCATGAGAGGTAGAATGAGTTTCTTTACAAATCTAATATATGGAATAATATAAAACACATAAAGGACTACAGTGGTTACATTACAAACCCATCTGGCTCTACCTAGGAGATACTTGCTGCTTTCCTTCCTTGCTTGGCCTTTTGACAAATGCTCCTAGGGAGCCAAAGCAGTGACATCCTTTACCCAGTGGCCACAGTGCTGTAACTTCCTTACCTGCCGCCCTTCCAACTCGATCTGGAAGTTCTTCGTTGATTCCTGGGTCACCCGCCCTCCAAAATCCAGTTGGTACACCTGTGTGGCCTCGTTCCACAGGGGCTGTTTGTTGGCCATCACATACACAAATCCCTGGCTACCCAGACGCCCGTCTTCCTTCTCACTGGCTTTGCGGCACTTGAACTCCTCCAGCTCGCTGGCTGTCCGCAGGCTTCTCTTGCTCTTCCACCCTTTCTTGCTGCCCTGGTTCTGGTTCATCAGCTCATCCCCACTAATGAATAGCTCAGGCTCACTCTCTGAGCTGTCCTGGAATTCGTTTGTTTTGTTCAACTTCTTTGACTTCAGTTGGTCTTTCTGACTCTTCACTTTCTTTTTCTCTCTTCCCAAGCGGGGACTCGAGATGAGAGAATTGAAGTCACTCAAAGTCCGAGCCTCCTTCTTTACTTTGCCCTCAGTGATGGCCTGAACATTTCCTTCTTCTGCTCGGCTATCTAGGCGCTTTCGGTTCTTCTTTCCAAATTTTTCTGAACGCTGGGGGACTGGGCTTTCTGTCAGGGAGAGGACCTCTTGGAAGTTGTCTGTAGTCTCTACCATCACTTCAGTGCCCATGTGGCTTTGGAGGTCAGCTGGCGGTGGGGAAACAAGGGGCTTCTCCACCACCAAGTGGGGCTTAGGTGGGAGGGTGCCCTGGGGGTTCTGCATGGGTGGGCAGGTGCCGTAGGAACTCCATGGGTGCAAGGCGATAGGTGGCAGCTGTAAACTGGAGCATGTGCTGCTTCCTGGGTACATGGGGGGCAAGGTGCAATAGGAGAGGCTGGGTGGGTATGTTGGCTGAAGGACGACGGCAGACTCCTGTTGTGCAAACTGTGTTGGGGACAGGGCATCTTTGGGGGAGCAGGAAGCCTGCACTCCAGGCAAAGAGGGGTTGTTATAGCTTCCTGGATATGGTACTCCCATCCCATAGCCTGTCTGGAAAGTGGCAGTAGGGCTGGTGGGAGATTTGGGGGAGACAAAAGGTACCCGGGCCACATCCAGGTGCTGGCCTTGCCCTAGAATCAGAGGGGGCAGTTTCAAAGGGTTGGGCACTGCAGGCTGTGCTGTCCTTTCCTGGGGAACCCAAACGTCCTCGCCCAGCACAGGATCCCACTGGTAAGGGGGAGGCCGCTTCATGGTGACAGCAGCTTCGGGCAGCATGGGGTGCCTCAAGGGTTTCTCAAGCTGACAGTGCTGGGACAGTGCCTCATCTTCTGTGAAGGCTGAGTTTACATAGTCAGTACGGTCGCGGGCACTGTCAGGCGGGCTCAAGAGACTGTAGGAGGACTGGGAAGCCAGTGGGGAGGTGCTGACAGCATGGGCCAAGATGGCCCCTGACTGTGAACTGGGCCCTGCACCACTACATTGGCTGCAGGTGTACAGGGCTGGTGGAGGCCTTGCTGGGAGCTGTGCCACAGCCCCGCTAGGGCCGCCCTTGGGCTTGGCCAGGGGCTGTAGTGGGACCCGGGAGCTGTCAGCCAGCTGGGTCATTTTGAGGGCAACTTCACGGTTGTTTCTCCGTAGGGTGGCATGGATGAGGCTGCTATCCAGTCTCTGGACAGTGCCCCGACCCTGGGCCAGCTGGCTAGCAATCTCAGGATATGGGGGTGGATCCCCTGTGGGGATGGAATAGCGAGGGACAGTCAGGCGGTTAAGGGTAGCACTGGTGCAGGGCTGGGAGACTTTCTTCTCAGTGGCTGTAAGCCTCAAGGTGGCTGAGCTACCCGGGCCCGGAAGGGTATAGGTGTTCTGGGAGCAAAGCATCCGAGTACGAGGCCGGCACACCTCCTCCACATTGCCACTGCTGTCGAAGGTGGTAATCCTCTCGTAGCCTAGGGGGGGCTGGTAATGCGCTGATGTGGGGTAGAGGGAGAAGTCCCCCTTCTTCAAGCACACATCCACTGGTGGCTGAGGTGGTGGCAGAGGTGGTGGGGGTGCAGCTGTGGTAGGGGCAGCAGGGATGGTTCCTGGGTAGGGCGGTGGGGGGTTCATTTTTGTCACCTGGATCTCCTGGGGGGCACCGAAGACTACTGCGTCCCCCTCAGCTGCTAGCTGAGGTACTGGTCGCAGGGCCTTGGCTGACTTTTGCAGGTGCTCATGGTCTCGGTCCACATGGTCCATCACAGCCAGCTGCATGACACCCTGTGGTGGTGGTGGTAGTGGTGGCGGTGGTGGTGGCGGTGGTGGTGGTGGCGGTGGTGGTGGCGGTGGCAAGGGCAACTGTGGAGGGTTTTGAATGATGCGGCCCATCTCCATACCTCCAAAAATCACTTGCCCAGGGTTGGAGTACCGGCTGGGGACTGGATACTGGGTCATACTGTCACCTATATGTTCTGATGCTCCCACAGCTGTTGTCTGATTGGTCAGGACATCTAGCTGCACATTCTGATTGGCCAGCAGGGACTGCACCAGCCCCATATTCTGTGTGGGGGAAATAGCTTGAGCAGAGCTGTGGATCGGTGCAATGGGGATGTTCACAGTACAAGGTGGGTTACTCTCAGGGACACCAGATGCTCCTGTCACTGGAAAGAAATTAGAAAAAGGAACTACTTGCAAAATAGTGTCATGACACTGGGTCAGTATAAGTATTAGATCCGTACTTATTTTATCTTTGCATGCAGAATGCAGTTGCTAGATACTGAGATGTGTTTGCTTAAGGAAAGCTGCACCATTCACAAACCTTCTCTAGTATTTCCAAGAAGATACACAGGATATTAGGGTAAGGGGGCACTGCTGGATAGCCTGTTCACTATCTGGAGGCCAAGGGCATTGTCAGAGCTTTTCAAAGAACATGTTTGAATGTGAATTTAGTACCATGTGCCTGAATGGTATCATTCCAAATAATAGTTTTGTTTTTTTTTTTAACTGATAATACTTAGTGGTAGCCTACTCTTTTATGCAAGAAAAGGACAATAGTAGAATATAGGACTACACAGTGTTTGAGCTTCCAAGCAAGTTTATCTACAATTATAGATTGGTTGGCATGAAAAGTATCACACAATAGTATATAAATTCAGTTTCTATAAAGAGAATCATGTAAAATACAGTAGAAAAAACATAAATAATAGCAAATATGCATATTAGGTGAAGGACCTTTTCCAAATTTATTTGCTTTACAGCATTTTGAACAATATAAGTAGAGCCACACTGAATACAACCCTATAAATACTCCCTCAGGGTGGAGTTTCATGGAGCATGCATGTGAACAGTTATCGACAAACAGTGGCTCAGAGCTGCTGTCTAATGAAGGTGCCCACCAAGCAGCGTGCAAGTTTTGCCCTTTATACTCACTGACCCACTGTGGCTCCTGTTCATAGAACACTGCCAGAAGCCAGAAGCCTTGTGCTAATGTTCATGTAGCAACTAGAAGCTGGGCAGGAAATAGGATCTAACAGGCTGGCTGACCTAGTACCAGAATGGCAGAATGCAGTCAGCTGGCCAACAAAAGTCAAGCTCACAAGCCAATCATAATTGTGCACATCTGTAATTCTAGATATTCAGGAGCTAAGACAAGATCACAAATTCTTGGTCATCCTGAATAATTTAGCAAGACTTTGTCTTAAAATAAAAAAATAAAAAGGGCTAAGAGTATAACTTAGTGGATGAGTATCCTTGGGTTTAATTTCTGGTAACACATTTAAAAAAAAAAGGGAAGCCTGCTGTTGGAGCCTATAATCAACTTCCTGCTCTTTTTGGGGCTCTAAAGAGGCACAAATTATTCACTGGTTGCACCAATGTGTGTCCCATCTCAAGTTTCCTCATTCCTGATCAGATCCCTTTTCCTGATGTTCTCTGGCCTGTATGAAATACCTACAGCAGTCATCTTTCATTCCAAAAGAGAAGTGTCTTCACTGAGCCACCATCATTGAATATAACCCTAAAACAGTACATTCTCTCCTCTCAATAGAACCAGTGATAGCAAAGACAACTGAAAGAAGAGCCCAATACTTTAGAGACTTGTGTTTTCTGTATTTGAGGGAGAACAGGAGGGTACTAAGGGAAAGTTTAAAAGACATTTTTCAATCTAAGAGCAGAGGATGTACTATGAGGCTCAAGTCTGTGAGATTTCATCACACTGAAGACACAGATGTTGCGAATGGAGGAATCTCTGTATCTATGAAAGTACAGGTGGACTTAGAAAAGCAAATGTTTGAAGTATCCTAGCATAACTGAGAATAGTTACATACAACTAATTGATAGACTAGAAATTGCTCTGATCTATTAATCAACGAACCCTTTGGATCTTCCCAGCAGGAAACAAACTAACAAGATTTCCTAAATATTTGAAAATTTATAAAACTGGAATTTAAAAATTATACCAAATATATCTTTAACTCAGGCTGGGCCTTTAAGCAGAGCAGTGCTACAGTCTTGTGTCCTGGAGGTGGGACAGGTTTGAGACACAGAGCTCTGTGGTTATCATAAACACACTCTCTATGTGGGGGTGAAAAGAGTCTAGTCAAGTCCCCCAGATGGGTTTCAGTTCTGATCTCAGTCTTGCTAACTTATCTTTATCTGGCAAAGGACTAAGAGGGTTTTTGTGAAGACACAGGCAGATGAGAGAAGTACTTGGTGAATGTGAGGCCACTGCCACTTTAAAGAATCATGCTCTGACAGCTTCACTCCTCAAACAGGTATGTATCTCTGGTCTTCCTGCGGGGACATGACACTCCATCTACCAACCTTACCGAGCTGAGTATGCCTTTTCCAGACTAAGGTGTTAGGCCATACTCTGCGGTGACTTACCACTCTGCCCTCCTTGCATAATCCGCTAAGAGGGACCATGACACACAAGTCCATGTATGTGGACACACCTGGTAAATCATCTTCATCTTCACTGAAAACATTTGGGTTGAAGACAGGTAAGTTAATATAGTCCATGGAAATCTTCCGAACTTCTGGGAGATAGATGGTCATCTGCCGTGGCTGGAGATGCAGCAGGCTGGTTTTATAGATCACTGTGTGGAGGAGGAAGGACACAGTTAGTAGAGAAATGGTGTAGGAAAACCACAGTGCCAGTGGAGTCTTAGGAAAAGGAATAAAGGGCTGTGTTCCCTGCCATGAGAAGACAAATCTGTACAGGCAGAGCTAAGAGCCCAAGGAGCTCTTCATCTCTCGTGGTTTACACACAGCCATGCAGGTTATGGTTTTAAACTCTGCAATGGTAAATACTTGGTAACTTGGCTACTCTGCCCATAGTTCACCTATAGAACTAAGATTTTTTTTGTTTTGTTTTTTTTTGTTTCTGTTTTTTGAGACAGGGTCTTGCTACTAGTTCAGGATGGATTTGAACTCAACTTGGTAGCCTATGTTGGCTTTGAATGCACAGTGATCCTCCGCCTCAGTCTCTCAATTGCTAGGATTATAGGGATTGTGCCACAATGCCTGGCTCAAACTATGAATTTTGAATGTCAAAAATATCTTGGACTTAGGGCTGTTGGACCTCTCCACTATGGGGGAGGGGAGCAAAAATGAGTCTGTCATCTCTCGAAGATCAATAAAGGGGCAATAATTGAGCTCAAAAAAAAAAATCTTGGACTTAATCTATTTTGAGGAGATAATGAGATGGGGTAGGAAAATATATTTTTAAAACACTTCATCTGCAAAAGGATAATTTAGTGAAAATAGTGGTGATGAGTACGCCAAGCTTTGGAAACACTGGGCAATCAAGGAGCTATTTAAAAGCAACAGGCAGGGAACAGGTGACAAACATCACATAGGGACAGAATGATGTCATCATTTGGGACTGGATTCTTGCCTTACTGTCTTTCAACTGTAACATAATGATCATAACACAAATTTATATGGAACTTCCATACAGTTTCTAAAAAAACTTTTAACATTTAATTAAGACTCACAGGAATATTTAAGACAGAGCCAAGATCACAACTAAAATATTTAGAGAGAAAATAACTTAAAAAATAACAAATCTGAACTGAAGTTTCACAAGAGTTTAAAATTAGGGAGAAAGGTCCTGTCAACTCTTTTTTAGGTTTAATACTATCTCCTGTGATACGCAGATAAAGGGGTTCTTTACAGATTAATTTTTGATAGTAAGCCACATCACACTTCTCAGTGTGTCAGTCCTTGAACTTCTCAGGCCAGACTAGCAGTCACTGCCTTGGCACAGCTGCTGCGTTGCAAGGCCTCTGTCTCTGCAATGTTAGTGCTAAGGATAGTGGCTAAGGTGACTTTTTGACCCAACAGCAGGAATGGCTTTACCCATGTGTGCATCTCTGTTCTCAAAAGAAAGACAATATAAATTTGGTGAGAAAATTGTGATTGGTTCTATATAGCTTAATATTTCACGAATTAAAGTGCTACTCTGTGTTGTTCAAATAATAGAGAATGAGCAATAAAATTTAAAAAACTATAAGGAGGGATTAGGAAAACATTATCATTTGCCTCCAGGGGAAAAAAGTTGGTGGCTGGAGTGATGATCTAAAAGATTTTTATTATACACTCTTTTGGATTTTCTAAATTTTGAATCTATTACACATTTTTAAAATTAAGAAATGCAAAAGTTAAAAATAAAAAATTTCATAGGCCAGACATTCTAATTTAAGAAAATAAATTATATAATATTATAATATAGGGAATATATAATAAATTTTATATAATAAATTATATAAAATTATAATATAGGGAACAACACTCATTTTCTCTATAGGGTAGAGCAGTAATATTGTTTTAGAGAACATTTAATGGGGTACCATCTATAATATACCCTCCAGAATTGACAAGAGTTAATTCCTTTTCTCTAGTAGAATTAAGTGGAAAATTCTTTTAGCTTAATAACTATATATACCCAAATGTTCTTTTTAAAATTTGATGGACTGGAGACACAATTCAGTGGCACAGCACCTGCCTTAAAGTATAAAGTCCTGATTTTGATTTCTAGTACCAAAAAAAAGGTCAATGTCAAAAACAATGATCCTTACACTCATAGAGCAAACTTTTATCTTAGGCACTCAACTGAGTCATCTGGAGCAGTAGGTCCTCAGAGGCACTCATAGGTGCTCTAATTTTAAGGTCCTCATTAGTTTATTTGTAGATTTATTCATATAAGAAATAAGGGTAGAATGAAAAGGATCTAGTAAGTAAATTCACACGTCCATTCCTTTTTTTCAATATTTACCAAAAGCAGATGGCTAAATTCTCAGATTACTGATTTGGGAACAATAATGATATTCAAACAGTGTTTCTTAAAAATGAACCAAATCTGTCAGTAGGGCACTGATGAATACCTGAACAAACTTCTGTAGTCATTAGAGTTTCCAGGTTGATGAAAACTTTAAGAGTTTTCTTTGCTTTACACACTGGAATGGTATAGTGTTATTTCCAAGTCAGTTTTATGTTTTACTTTTATTCTTCTTTTTCTTTGAGCTAGAAAACCTCAAAATGAAAAATCCAAATGAGTGCTCTTTAATCAATCTCTGAAGATGCACACATAGCAACAGGCCTTTTAAACATCTGATTTGCAAGAATAAAGCATCTGTGTATGTCACAACTCTTACAGACGAATTTAGAATTTTTCAAAAATAATTGCAGGTTACACAGAACCTGTGTGAGGTAAAGGGCCACAGTCCTACTTAGCCTCATGGAGGATGTGTACAATGGGAATCAAGCAGGCAACCAAGGAAGATGGTAGTAAAAATATAGCTAACTACTCTGTCCAAAGAGGGATCTACCCAGCAGAAGGAAGATGTTTAGAAAAGGACCTTCCCTATTTTCACTTCTATCTCTGAGGCTAATGTGACAAGTAATTACTAATTTGTAATCAGATGAGAACCTAAGGACCAGGTTTGTATTCGCTTGGCTCACTTTTTTTTTTTTTTTTTTTTTTTTTTTTTTGGTCTCACACTTATTATGGATCGAATGTTTATCTTAACTGAGAAATGAAATTTATAAATATTTACTACTAAGAACTACACTGTAAATAGCCAACTTCTTACAGACCTTAATGGTATTTTGTTCCACTTTCTTTAGAAATTTCTTGTGATTCGAGGACTTAGACTATAAAAATCTATCCATAGAGGTTAAACTATATGGAAATCTTTTGAGAGCTCAAATACGGATTTTGGATATTTCTGTTACTTTTGTACTTCTATTAGATTTTATGAGTCAAGAATTATCTTTAAAAAAACATTATAGTGGCAGTGGCAAAAGCCAATTTGAATGGTAATTCTAATTTTTCCAAAATCATATTGGCTGGAGTCAAGGTTTGGAGCAACTTAAACACTCATCTCTAATTTGCTAATCTGTGTTGTTTTAAGAGCTCATTTTCAACTTTACACTGCCAAAAGTTGAGACTTGATTTTTGGATCTGATTTCTAACAGGAATGGTGAGAGAAGAGAATGAGTTTTTTTTACCTGCACCGAGGTTGGTTGGCAGGAAAGCAGCCAAGCCCACAATCTTAAATTTGGTTCCCCAGATATTGGATGTGACCTGAGCAAGATAGTTGTGCTGTGGGGGAGAAATATGAAAACAAAAATAAAGACTTGAGGTCTACTTCCACATCCAAGGATATATTTCTATTGGTCAATTGTATGAATGTTACCATTTATTGCTTTAAAAGTCACAAGGATGGGCTAGATAGGATGATAGATGCCTATAACTCCCTATAACTTTAGGAGGCTGATGCAGGAAGATTACAAATTTAAGCTCAGCCTTGCCACTTCAGTGAGACCCCATCTTAAAAAAAAGCTGGGGATGTAGCTCATTGTGAAAACCCTAGCTTCAGTCTGTCTATTCATCTATCTGTCTATCTATCCATCCATCCATATACTTACCTATCTAGAAATATTCATTCCTTCCATACTTATGCCATTTTTAAAGACCAGATGCTAACTGGAGCATGCTGAGTTTCCATTTTTTAATAGTGGCATACTGAGCTAGGAGTGAGTGCTTGCTTTCCCAAATATGTCTACATGTGTGCAGTTTAAAAAGGCCACCAAAGCTAGGTGTGGTAGCACACACCCCAGCTACTCAGGAAGCTGAGGCCATAGGATAGTTAAAGCCCAGGAGCTGGAGGTTATTCTGAGCCAGTATAGTGAGATTCCCATTTAAAAAAATAAGTAAATAAAAAATTTTTAGTAGCTCACCAATAGCTTCTTTGCCTCTCTTTCTTCATACTCATTGAACTAGAGAGAAAAATCTTAAAACCTGAATCCACTTATACCCTTGATGTTTTCCCTGGAAAGAGCTGCACTGATATGATGTGTCCTTACACTACCAAATTATTTGTTTTCTCATTCAAATAAAACATATTTCAAAAAGTTATCACTATTCCCAAGCATGAGTACATCATGCATGGGAACAAAAATACAGATAAACAAAATCCACTTCAAGAAACTTATGACCTAATGAAAGAGGGCTCATAGCAACTTTTGTAAAGTCCCTGAGAGATGTCAGAGGTAGTTAATTATCTGGTCCCATGCACTGTATCCAAGCCAGTGAAGGAAGCCTTTATGATAGAGGTGGTACTGGAGTTAGGTCGGAGAGTAGGGACAAAAACAAGGATGAGGAGATGAGAGTGGGTGAGTCAGGCAGGACTGGACTATGGAGGCTATAACCGGGGCTCTTGTCCCAGAAAGTGGACTAGAACTGGCTTGAGAGCAGCAAGGTGGAAAAGTGCAGATGTGTCTCAGTCCGAGCTCCACTGGAGGAAGCGAGGGGCAGCAGAGAGGCATGTAGAGGAGAGCCAGTCGGCCTGTGTGCAGGTATGGCAGTGAGTGGGCAGACAGGTTGGGAAGGAAGGTGGCACATCCAGGTGGTGTGAGGGTTCAATCAAATCAGGCCAGCACTGTCAGACATTCCACTACCTGAGTGATGTCTTCAAAAGGAAACTCTCTCCGTGTCAGGCTGGGTGAGCCAATAGAGGGCTTGCGTATGGGCAACCGGGGAGACCGGGAGATCTCCTGAGCAGCCCGGGGCAGCTTGGGAGACTTCCGAGCTTCAATGCTGATCCTGTGGAGACAATGCCAGGAAGGGTTAGGCACCTACAGAGTGGGCAGGGCTGGAGCACTCTGCTTCCCTTTCTAGATAGACTGCCATTGATGTTCTCAGTGGCCAGATCCTTAATTTCACGAAGTTTTTACTCCTGATTTTGCTTTACGAACATGAGTAAAGAATACCAAGTATACTGAATAACATATAGAATATTTAAAAAATATGCTGTGATTAGATCCAGTGACTTAGTTGTAAGGAACCTGAGAATATTAACTCTGTCACTTTCTACCTACCTATAGAAAGTTTGAAAATGTCTATATATCTTTGCATTATTAGTCTTGGGGAAAATGACATGAGGGAAGAGTTATTTCTTATCCAAAGGCCACTATGATTTAAAAAAGTCTAAGATAGGTCATATTTTAACAGATTTACATAATACTTTACCACCTGTAATATTTAAAGCAAATCAGTGAGTCTAACGCTTTTCTGCTGCCTTTTGATCCTATGTGCTGCCTTTATTTCTCAACTCCTTTGTAATGTGAAGACACGTGTTTCATGTCATTCTGCTCCAGAGAGAGTTTTATAATAGCAGTGTAAGGTTTATAACATCCCATAAAGGAGTACTAAGCCTTTTTTATATTACTTGCAAGCCTGATACAAAAAACTTTCCCAGGGAACCTGAGAAATGGGAGGATGGGAGGTTGAGCTGACTATAGCTGTGATAGGACCATTAGCCTGGTTTCTGTGCAGAAGGGATTCCAGGTGAGGAGAGAAGGGAGAAGAGGGACCAGCCAGAGAAGAAACAGCTTTAGGAAGACATCTATAGGGAAAAGAAGGGTCTAATTGTCTACATTGGAACTTCTCTCTCTGCCTAACAGATGGAAAAAGCTTAAAACACTGGAAATATTGAAAAGTTTGTTTTTTTGTTTTTGTTTTTGAGACAGGGTCTCACTATGTAGTTCAGTCTGGCCTCAAACTCATGGAAATCCTCCTATCCTGAGCCCTGGGATTACAGGTTTGCACCACCACGCCCGACTGAAAAATTCATAATTTTATGTGCAATTTTTATAAAGTTCGGAATAAAGATGAAAAAATAAACCAATCAGACCGCTCTACCAACTGAGTATATAGGGAAAAAAAAGAATGTTTATCCCTCAATTCACAACACATAAAAGAATTAATTTGGATGTAAAGATAATCTGAGATATAATGTGAAAGCTGAAACTCTAAAAGTTGCTGGAAGAGAAGACTGTCCTTATGGCCTTAGAACAGGATTTCCTAAACAGGATACAAGAAGCATAAAATAATTTCATACACTACTTTGAACTATCTGGCAACATACAGCTCTGACAAAACACTTATATCTAACATACGCAGAGAACATTTACAACTCAAATACAGAAAAACTGACAAAAGACCAGAACAGAAACTTCACAAAAGGTGATAGCTAGATAATCAGTGTATAAGAAATATATGAAAAAGTACTCAGAATCACCAATCATTAGAAATATTAGAATTGAGCGATAAAGATACCACAGTATACCCACTTAAATGGATAAAATTATTTTTAAAAATAACTATTAACCTATATGAATTTAACTTGGTATAACCACCTTGAGATACTGTTTGGATTGGTAGTTTTCAATAAAGTTTAACATATGTCTAACCTATGACTCTATAATTTCCTTTCTATGTATATATTCATGAGAAATTAGGACATATAGCCCTCATTTTATACATAAAGTTTTGTATAAAAATGTTTCTAACTGAAAATTATTATATATATTGATTGGTTAAAAAAAGATAACACAGTTATTCGTTCCCAATTCCCAACGGATCAAAGAAAAAACAAACTACTGATATATGTGATTAAATGATGAATCTCAAAATTACTATGTTGATGAAAAAGCTAGATAAAAAGGGTACACATTATTTGATTCTGAGTACATATCATTTGATTCCATTTATGTGAAATTCAAGAGCTAGCAAAGCTAATCTGTTGTGACAGAAGTTATATCAAATGAAAGAAACACAAGGGACCTTCTAGGAAGACAGGCACATTATTTATTTATTTATTTTTGTCTTTTTCTTTTTTATCGATACCGGGGATCAAACTCATGACCACAAACTTGCAAGGCAAGTGCTTATGCCACTGAGCTAAATTCCCAGCCCCAGGTACATTATTTTGTACCAGGCAGAGACACACTGGTATAGCAACTACTCCACAACCTAGCTGTTTAAGGTCAAGCAATTATGCATGTATGTATCTATATGTAAAGTGGACCTTAATTTTTCATGGTACTACGGAACTGTAAAGTTAGCAAGGATCTTGATGAGAATCTGGTTTACCCCTTAACAACCACAGATAAGGAAACTCCAAAGTCATACAGCCTGTGATGGTGGCAACACAGAAGAAGGTATTGTCCTTATCTATGACAACCTAGGTCTTTTCATCTACTCTTAGCTTTCTTGTTTTAGACAAACCTTAAGAACTCTTTTTTTTTTCTAATTGCAGCATTGTAGGCATTTAATGTGGTATTCTCTTCAACACACTGCATCCACTGTAAGACCTTTTTCTTCCTTTTTGTAAACTGGAAGAAAAAAGTTCTGAAAGTTTAGCAAACTTCCTACAGGGTGTCTTCTATCCTGAAGGAAAAAAGGAAAAGCTGTAATTATTCCAGGTAGAATCTTCCAGAAGAAAAGGTGGTAAGAAAAAAAAGAGGAATGCCAATCTTGCTGCACAAGTGTCAGTTTCTTTCTTTAACATAAAAGTTTATTGGAACAAGAAAAGGTTCTACAATTGAGTCACATTTTATACTCAAGATTGTTCAGAATGCATCCCCCCTCAAGTATCAGTTTTGATGGGCTTCTGGTACAGGCACAAATACAATCATATCAAAGTCACATAAAAAAGGAAAGCATCTAAAGACTGAGATCACCTTGGGAGTTTGGGTGATTTGCTTGCCCTGGAAATTTTGGGAGATTTCTTGGCAGCCCAGTCATCACTCAGTTCAATGTCACTGGAGTCAGAGCAGTTGCAGCTGTCGATTACAGTGGAAATCAGGCTGTTTCCATAGATCTCATCTGTAAGACACCAACAAACAAGCTTAAGGGAAGTTAAATCAATTAGACTCTAGCAACAATCACTACTAAAAACTAAGAGACTCACAACCCATCATTCAGGCAAGAGCTTAGCAGTGTTTTTATTTTTTTATACTTTTATGCTATTTCTAAGCAGAAGTAGGCAACTTTTTCTATTGCTGTCAAAATGACATGGTATTTTAACACTTCTATGGATATATAAAATAGTCTTGAACTGTTTATTGTACTGAAAACTTAAATTAAAATGGCTTCTGTAGGGCTTGTATGGACTTTTGTGTAACCCAGAAACCCAGGTTGTGGAAAGGCTCATTGACTTATTCTGGGAAACTGGTTTGATCTGGGAAGGCTCTTGTTGGTCCAGGCCTGCTGGGGCCACACATTTACAGGGATCAGTCTGTGCTGAGGTCTTTTGGTTGTTTGCATCTATAACGTGAGGCAGTCTGCTGGAAATGACATGGGCTTATCACCTGGTACAGCTACCTGTTGGTCGGGATTATGGCTGAAGGCGAGACCTTGTGTAGGAGGAACATCCAGTCATAGTTCTAGGTTAATCTGTGGATATCTTGGATGTAAACCACTTAGTCAATTGGCCACCCACAAGAAAATCAGAAAACTGAAGGCAAAAGATAAGACAACTGCAGAGTTGACAGAGCTTGTCATTCTTAAAACTGCTTCTCCTTGCCACACCTTCCCAGGCTGGTGGCCCTGTGTAGACAGATGTGGCAGTGGAGGGGAACAGTAGACATGGAGGACTGCACTGGCTGGTGATGGCTATAGAAGATTTAGTGCTCCCATGGAAGACAGTGATTGAGCCATTCGGAGAAGGGCCAACTAAACTCAGAATCTAGAATTGCTGCTAGCTCCGTCTAGCAGCTCCCAGCCAGACTTAGATCTATGGAAATTGCTTGGGTAGCAGGAAGCCCCATGTGTCTGGTATCCAGACAGGCCTGCTGAGATTATCCACTACCTGAAAAAAAGCTACTTTCGGCTTGCTGGGATAGTCTGGCATAATTTGGGGAGTCTGTCTCCACAGGTTGTCTACTAGTGAAACGAGAGAGAACACTGGAAGTGAACTGTTTTTCTTTTCTGTTTTTTTCCTTCTTTTTTCTTTTTCTCTTTCTCCCTCATTACTTTTATATGAGTGTGAATGTGGTTCCTGGCCTTGTTGTGGGTGAAATTCTGCTCTGTTCTTTCTTCTTTCTCTTCCATTTCTCTTTTCCTTCAGTGTTCTGGATCAGTTTCCCAAACTTGGTGTGATTTCCCTTTGTCCTACAACCTAATCTCTTCTTCTTCCACTTCTCTATTTTCTCCTTAATCCATTTTAAATTTTAACCTCTGAGGGCAAAATTGACACATTAAGTAAGGACTTATATACTGCATATAATTTTCTGTTGAGATCATATAAAGAACTCAAAAATACCAGTCCTCCTAGATTTAAAGATCCTATCCAAAAATGGGCATCTGAGATAAATACACACTTCTCAGATGAAAGAATACAAATGGCAAATAAATATATGAAAACATTTCAGCGTTGCTGGTCATTTGAGAGATGTAGATCAAAACAACACTGAGATTTCACCTTACCCCAGAAAGAATGGCTGTTATCAAGAAATCAACCAATAACAAATGCTAGAGAGGCTGTGGGGGAAAAAGGAACCCTTCTTCACTGTTGGTGGGAGTGTAGACTGTGCAACCACTGTGGAAATCAGTGTGGTGATTCCTGAAAAAACTAGGATTGGAGATCTCATTTGACCCAGTTCTTCCCCTTTTGAGTATTTCCCCAGAAAAATTAAAAACATCATACCACAGGGATACATGTGCACCCATTTTCATAGCAGCACAATTTGTAATAGCTAGATCTTAGAAAAACCTAAATGCTCCTCGACTCAGGAATAGTTAAAAAAGATGTGGTACTTTTATACAATGGAATGCTATAAAAGAGGACAATATGAAGACTTTTATAGATAAATGCAGGCAAGTTGAGACCATACTCAAAAGTATAATAAATCAGACACATTTAAACACTGTGTTGTCTCACTTGTGTGAGAAGCTGAAAAGAAACATTATGTATATGTGTATATATAGGTATATTAAAAAAGATAGGTAAAATAGTTATACTACTGATTTCCCTGAAGTCACTGAAGAGAAAGATTTGTGCTGGTACTGTTTTGGACAACTGAATGCAGACACCTTGTGCTCTGCATGAATGATCTGGGGATTACAATGCACAATGTATGTACCATTGTTGCTCCCTGATTGATGGGTTTTGAAATTTTTTTTTTCTCTTTGAAATAAAATGGATTTGGAAAAAAGCCAGCAACCACTGACATCTCAGAAGATGTTAATTCAAACCCTCTCAGTTTCTAAGTACATGGGTGGGGGGGGGGACATTGGTGAACAGGGGGCATCTAGGAGGTGGAACAGTTGGCCTGCTACTTGAAAAAAGACTGCTCCCCAGTCAGTGTCACTCCTTCTTAAAATGCTTACTGAATCAGAAGGCACAGTCCTTGTATCCAGCCAATTATGATGCTCTGAGTCTGAGTTTAATCACATTAAAAGGCTTAATTCGTGTACTGGAGCAGTGCTTTATATTATTTAATTCAGGAATCACTGGATCAAAGGAAGCTTAGCTGTGATTCACTCATGCAAGCCCACAGAACGCTTACATGTATCCATTAACAGAGCCCCAAAATATAAATATGCATCATGCATTGCCTACTAACTACCATCTTCCTTGTCCACACAGGGTAACTCAGATGTTCTGTCTCATGCCACTTGTTCTTTCTCCTTTACTCATAACTGCTTTTTACTGTACTGTACAACCAGAGCGTAAGTTCCAGAGGCAAGACAGCCACTTGTCTTGTTTCCTCTGCACTCTCAGGGACTAGAACAATCCCTGAATGAACTGAATGAAGGCTCCCTGAGGGTTGCATGAGAACAAGGAAGTTACCTTCTGAATACAGATCTGAGTTCTGCTTGTTCAGAGTTATTAACTCTACATGGACAGGCACAGTACAGCAGACTCCTCTGGTGTCTCTACCACCATAATGAAAATTTCTACATTCCATTACAGGAACACTAAAGGAGGCCAGGGTAGTGGTAGTATATTTCTTACACTTCTAGACATTCTGTGCATCAAGTCATCATGGAAGTTCTGGAATGTACATCCAAGGTATAGAAAAATATAAATTGGGATTGGTTTCTGGGCACTAAGACAACTATAATATCTGGGCTTCATGTTCCAATTTTGAAGGTTTTCCAAATACACAACCTGAATTAGGTTTCATTTTTGTTTTTGTACTGGTGGTGTATACAGGGCCTTTAAAGTGAGTTATATCCCCAGCCCTTACTTTGGAACAGTCTCACTAACATGCTAAGTTGCCCGGCGGAGCTCAAAATTGGGATTGTCCTGCCTCAGTCTCTAATAGTGCTGGAATTACAAGCATGTGCCACCATGCCTGGCTTCAAAAGCTGTTTTAATGGCTTTTGTAATATATGCTGTGTCTTAGTCTGCTTAGATTTCCATAACCAAATACCATAAATCGGGTGTGCTTCAACAACAGAAATTTATTTTCTCACAGTCTCACAGGCTAAAGTTCCAGATTAGTATACCTACATGACAGGATTTTAGTGGAAGCTCTTGCCAGTTTGTAGATGTATGTCACTATGCAGTGTTCAAAGAGCCCTTTCTTGGAGCAATGCATGGAGAGAGATAGCTCTGTTCCAGATTCTTTTAAGGCTACAACTTTATGATCTCATAAAATCTTAATTACTCCCTGAAAAGACTTATCTCCAAATAAAGTCACATGGAGAGTTAGAGCTTCAACACAGGATTTGGAGCTGGGGGTGCTTTGCAATTCTGCATCTGGCATCTCCCAAATTTATGTCTTTCTCCCATACAAAATACATTCAATCCCTCCCAACAGCCTAAGTTAAAAGTCTTCACTCATTCTAGCATGAACTCTAAAATCTAATGTCTCATCTAAATATCTAACTCAAATATAAATGAGACACAATGTATAATTCATCTTAAGGCAAAACTGTTTTCCAGTTGTGAACCTAAGTTAAGAACCAGTCAGATTATGTGCTATCAATATAGGATAGAGGGACAGAAATTGGGTAGACATTTCCATTCCAAAAGAAGAAACTGAAAGTGAGGAAGGGATGATAAGTCTCAACAGTTCAAAGCCCAGCAAAACAAATTCCATTAGACCTTACGACTTGAGGATAATTCTCTTTAGTTGGATACTCCACCCTTCTGGCCCATTGGGTGCAGCAACACCCTCCTGGCTCCAATCACCCTTGCCTCCAAGGTTCTGGGCTAAAACCATTTGACGGCTGAAACCAAGAACTGCTGATCTCTGAATCACTTTAGGGGACATTTTCTCTTCCTAAAGAACAGAGCAACATGGCAGCCAAACAGTTCTATCATCCATATCTGTCAAATCCAAGAAGTCTATCTGCTCTTTAATTTCATTCCTTTCAGATCAAGCTGGAAATAGTTTTGTTTTATAATCTCATAAACTATCAAATGATAACTCAGTCACGCCACTGGTATTATCTTTAGAATAGGTTTTCTCAATTTTTGCAATGGATAGGCTGAGAATTTGTAAATTATTTAAGATTTTTTAGCTCAACAATTTCCTTCTTCAATTCATCCCTTTCCTTTCTCATGTTACTGCAAGTAACTAGAAGGAACCAGACTACTTCTGCCCTTCACTTAGAAATTTCCTCAGTTAAATATTCAATTTTATCACCTCAAAGTTCCATCTTTTGCACTACACTAGAATACAGTTCAGCCAAATTCTGACTTTAAAATAATAACTGCCTTTCTTTCCAGAAATTCATCACAATAACTGAATGGTAAAACCTATTAGAGAAAAGAAACAAATCATTTATATAGGAAAGCCCATCAAAACCACAGCAAACTTCTCAACACAAACCCTCAAGTCAATGGTAGCTTGGAGTGAACTATTTCAAGC